CCAGCCAGGGCATTAAAGGTCGCAATACCCCTCTTTTCAACTGATAGCTGAACACAGTGGTGTGCACCTAACATCCTAGCTACCTGGGAGGCTGAGAATGGAAGGCCTCTAGTTCTAGGCCAGACTGAACAAAAAAGTTAGGGAGGTTTTCTCTCAAAACAGTGAAGCTAAGGGTGCAACACATTCTTATCCCAAATACAACAGGAAACTGAAAATAGGACTGCAGTTTAGAGTCGCACTCAGTCAGGAAGCAAGACCCTGTCTCAAAAACTAATAATAATAAGCTAAACAAAACAGCACAAAAGAAGGATCCAGAGATGGCTGAGCATTTAGAGCTCCTGCCTAGAAAGAGCAAAGCCTTGAGTCAAAGCCCCAGCATCACACAAAAAGGAAGAACCACCTAAAGGGTATTAGAATCCCAAAGCCCTTTCATTATACTCCTGACATCTGTGTTAACATCAGCACGTATGGCCAGGCTCTGGTGGCTCACGCCTGTAATCCTAGCGACTCAGGAGGCTGAGATCTGAGGATTGAGGTTCCAAGCCAGCCTGAGTAGGAAAGCCCATGAGACTTTTGTCTCTAACTAAACAAAAAGATGGAAGTGAAGGTGTGGCTCAAGTGGTTGAGCACCAGCCTTGAGCCAAAAAGCACCAGGACATTGTCTAGACCCAGAGCTCAAGCCCCAGTACTGGCACACAAACAAAAAAAAAAAAAAACCAAAACCAAAAATTACCACACATTGCTACCACACGATGGAGTTTGCAGCCTAATATGGATGAAGACGCAGTCTCCTGGGGCTCAGGTTCAACTCCACCCACATAGAGTTCTCTCTGATTAGGCTGCCTCCCCCAGAGACCGTAGGATGTGTACTTTGAAAAGTTGAGAATCCACTGTTCATTATACTTGTTCCAGGCTACCATGGCAACAAGTGTTCATCTCTGCAGTTACTCGAGGAAGCTTCAGTTTCCCTGCTCTTAATGTTCTGCTTTTCCATTGAGAAAAGCATATAATCACCAACCCACACTGCAGGTAGCCCTAGAGATAGGATAGCCTTGATCCCCACACAAATGGACCATCATGAACATGAGAAGTTCTTGCCGGTAATAAAGGGATGAGCTACTGTAAGGGCCCAAGTTATCCATCAGAAGCATGTATACTTTAGGCAATGTAAGGTTCCAGTTTGTGGGCTATGATTCTTTAGAGGGTTGTGTTGGTTTCCTATTTAGGCTGCAACTAATGAACACAAATTTAGTGGCACAAACCCCAGATTATTTTACAAGTCTGGATGTCCGAAATCCAACATGGGTCTTCTGGTGAGTTGATGGGAAAACTGTTTTGTCTGTTCTGCATGTGTATACCAGTCCTAGGGCTTGAACTCAGGCCCTGCATGTTGTCCCTGAACTTCTTTTGCTCAGGGCTAGCTCTCTACCATTTGAGACGTGGCACCACTTCCGGCTTTTTTCCGAGCAGTTTATTGGAGATAAGAATCTCTTGGCCTTTCCTGACAAGAATGGTTTTGAACCTCAAATCTCAGATCTCAGCCTCCTGAGTAGCTAGGATTATAGGTGTGAGCCACTGGTGCCCAGATTCCTTTCTATTGTCCGTTCTTCTGTGAATAAATCTTATCTAAAAAGCCAACCCTTTTGTGTGTGTGTATGTGTGTGTGTGTGTTGGTGCTCGAATTCGGTGCCTAGACACTGTGCCTTGGTACAGTATTTTTGCTCAAAGCTTAAGCTCTACCACTTGAGCCACAGCTCTACTTCCAGCTTTTTGGCAGTTAATTGGAGATGACAGTCTCATGGCCTTCCCTGTCTAGGCTGGCTTCCAACCATGATCCTTAGATCTCAGCCTCCTGAGTAGCTGCGATTACAGGTGTGAGCCACTGATGTTCAGTGTCCCCAATTCATGAGGAGCCTTGTGATTGTGCCTATCTGGGTAACATCACCACCTCAAGACCCTCAGTTACATCCATGAAGTCCTATTGGTATGGAAAGATGATATTGGTAAACTCTAAGGATTAAGATGTGCATGTGGGACATGGGGAGAGGGAAGGATTGTCCTTCTTCAGCCTGCAGGAACAATTTGTTTTGGTGGGGCTGGGAATTGAACCCAGGCTGTGTGCAGACCATGCCACCTACATCAAAACATGAAGGTTTCGTTTCCAGTGCTAATGTGCAACAACATAGTAATGTGAGGTTGCACACTAAAAGTTGGAATTCAAGACCATTTCTTGCTTTATATCATTAGAAGAATGCCTCTGGAGCCTTATAAAGAATGGCTCTGAGAGAACTTAAGCTTTTAACCTCTATTACTCTAGAAATGCCAGACCCACAGGTGCTGGTGGCTCACATCTGTAATCCTAGTACTCAGGAGACTGAGATCTGAGGATCATGGTTCAAAGCCAACCTGGGCAGGAAAGTCCACGGGCCTCTTATCACCAATTAGCCACCAGAAAACAAAGTGAAGCTGTGGCTCAAAGCGGTAGATCATTAGTCTTGGGGGGAAAAAAAACTCAGGGACAGTGCCCAGGCCCTGAATTCAAGTCCCACAACTGATATAAAAAAAAGCCAAACCTTCCTTCCACACAAGTGCAGTGGTTTCATGATACCAAAATTAAGTTTTACCCATATATAAATCTAACTAACAGAAGAGGAAACCAGGCACTGATGGCTCAGGGTTGTAATCCTACCTGCCTAGGAGGCTAAGATCTGAGGGTTGCAGTTCAAAGTCAGCTCAGACAGAAAAGTCCATGAGACTCTTATCTCCAATTAACTAGTCAATATATAGAAGTAGTAGAAAGCCAAATAAGGGCAAGAGGTCCCAAGTTCAAGTCCCGGTCTTGATCATGAAATATTCCTCATTGGTTCATGTATTGAATGCTTGATGCCCAGTGTATGTGAGAAGATGGTGGAAACATTAGAAGCATTAGAAAGTAGGGCTTAATTGGAAGTCACTATGTGCACACCTTGGAAGGTGATATCTGGCCCCTAATTTTTTCCCATACTTTCTCATTTCCTGTTGCCAGAAGATGAAGCATCTCATCCATTAGAATTCAGGACCTCCCGCAAGAAGTTCTGCCCACACCCAAGAGACCAAGAAACCATGGAGGATTGATGGCTCTGAAACTTCTCCTTGACCTCAAGGTTGGGTTTTGAAAACTCCAAGAGTCTGACTTTCAGAGTGGAGAGTTAAAAGTCTTAACACTAGATTTTTTTAACTTACCCCCATTGATTGACATTTAAAATATTTATGTCCAGCTACTTGAAGAAACCAGTTTAGAGCCCATTTTTTTCCTAGTTAAAGGATACAAGTGAATTTATTTCTATATTTGATGTTACGAAGACTCTCTATGTACTTATGTTACGCACATAGCCATACTAAGGATGTAACTGCAACCTAGGAGCAAATAGTCACCCTAAGGAGGTGGCCAAGATCAAACAAGGCTAGTAGGAAAATAGTCCTCCAGGTCCAATTGTAGTCTTCATACCAGGAAGGTTAGAATTTCACATAGGAAAATGAAACTTTATTCCCTTCCCTCTCCCGGAAGAGAGTGGTAGTATTTAATTACATTGGAAATCTTAAGGGAAATGTGACTGAATCCTTTCTTTGAAATGCTCAGGGAAGTTATCTACCTCTTGAGACTCATCTGAGTTAAATACTTTTAAGTAAAATACTAGATCATTTTCTAAACTGCCTTAAAGAGAGAACTTGCTAATGTAGAAAGGATGCTATTGTCTAAGGATTGGAGTTCATTGTCTCAATTCAAGGAAAAATTGAAGGAAAGGATATAAGATAGGGTAAGAAGTTGAGAATATCACACACACACACACACACACTGGAATTTTACCCACTATGAATTTTATCACAGTTGGAGATATTTAAAGAGCATAATGGAAGAAGAAAGTATAGGAGTGAAAGTTTTATTGTTAAGAGCCAAACTAGCTAGAAGCAAAAGTGTCTTGTCTTCCCCTCCCCTACTCAATATCTCAAGCATAGTCCTGACCTTCCCAGGTTGGACGGTGTGATGATTATGGACTCCTGACAGTAACTTCATTGGATCCCTGACTTCAAAGTATATATGTGGATGCCTTAGAGCACAGACAGACTGGCTCTGATCCATGGGCTTCAGCCTCCTCCCTTGTGTACCAGCCCTGATCCTCTTGTTTTTCCCTATGCTGCCTACACAGTTCTAAATCTCCATATATTTTGGATAAATGTCCTCCAGAGTCATGTATTAAAGACCTGGTCCTCGGAGTAGTTCTATGGAAAGATCCTGTGGACCTTTAAGAGATGGGGCTTCGTAGAATGTTCTTTGGTCCTTGGGGCTGGTGCTCCTAATGGAAATGATGAGATCCCAGGGCCTGATCTGTTGCTTGGCTTCAGATGTGATCACCTGTCTGACATTCACTTCCGGGTCACACACTTCAGTCACTATAGATCCAATCCAGGAGGGCTAAACAGCCTTGGGCTTAAGCCTCCATAACTGAGGGGGAAAAGAAGCAATTCCTATTTTGTAAGTAGCCTGTGTCAGATATTTTGTTCTAATGACAAAGCTGATATGACAGATGGCTTACTGACCCCTGATCTTATTTTAGTGGAGATATTAGACTTGTTTTAGTGATAAAACAGTATTAGACCTAAAGTGTACCCCCATAGTTGGGGTGTAGCTAAAACTCACTCCATTGAATGAGTGGCAGAGGATTCAAGTATAGGACTGAGGGATCAGTAATGGCCAAATGACAACAACACAAGCTACAAGCTTTCCTATTCTCATCCACAGAGGCTGAAGCTGCCCAGAAGATTCTGGATAAGCTTTCAGACACTCTAAAGAATGACTGCAACAATCTTTAGCACCACCTAAACTTTACAAGGCAAGAGAAAGTAGAAAGCAGAAGTTTACTTTAAGAACTCTATTTGCAAGTTCCATTAGTAAGTCCTCCTCATGGCTCTTTCACACTCAGATATAACACTTAGAGTACCAGCCAAACCCACACAGGCAATCAGGCAGCCTCTATTTTAGAAGCAACATCTCCAGCAATCTTGTGAGTTCTGGAATCTTCAACATCTGCAAAGGAAACGGACAATTCAAGTCTTTATGGTTCTGTTGAAAGGAATCTGAAGACTACAGTCTTCTCCAGGGATGTGACATTAGGCCCAGGTGAATTGCTTTGGAAAATTTGCAACAGCAAGTGGCCTTCAACTCTATAAACAACCTCAACACCACTGGCTCCTCACTGTTTTTTCCTACCTTTCATACTGGGTCCCCCCCCCCCACTCCCCACCCCCCACCCCCACCCCGGTTCAAGCCAGATGGGCTAACACCTCTCAAGGGCCTTGTCTTAGTTTAATCCAGCATCCTAATGCTAACACACCTATCGCCTGAGTGAGATTGCTGGGATTTAAGGTAGTTTAATTCCACATTCTAAGCCCAGAGTGAAGGTTGTGTGGGGTGAGGTATGAGGTGATCATGGAAGGCTGACCTAATATAGACAAGTGTAGCAGAAAAGTTGCCCATGCTTTTTGACCAGTCCAAGGATTGCCTTTAATTTTTTGTGTATCTAGCTATAAGCCAGGTGCTGGTAGCTCATAACTGTAATCCTAGCTACTCAAAAGGCTGAGATCTGAGGATCTTGGTTCAAAACCAGGAAAATCCATAAGACTTTAATCTCCAGTTAACCATCAGAAAGCCAGAAGTAGAGCTGTGGCTCAAGCCTTGAGCAAAGAAAGCTCAGGGATAGCACCCAGGTCCTAAGTTTAAGCCCCAAGACCAGCACCAAAAAAATTTTAAACAAATAAAATAAAATAATCAGCCCCCCCCCACAATGCAATATTAATATCAAGCATGAAAGCAGAAGTAACCAAGATGTTGTAAATGAGATATGAATGAGGACCATGACTAAGGTAGAGCAATGTGACTTTATACATTTCTTTTTTTTTTTTTTTGTCGGTTGTGGGGCTTGAACTCTGGGCTTGGGTGCTGTCCCTGCACAACTGAGGTCAAGGCGAGTGCTCTAGCACTTGAGCCATAGCACCACTTCTGGTTTTCCAGTGGTTTATTAGAGATAAGAGTCTCATGGAGTTTCTTGCCTGGGCTGGCTTTGAACCACAATCCTCAGATCTCAGCCTCCTGAGTAGCTAGGATTATAGGCGTGAGCCACCAGCACCAGGCTTCTATGTGGTTTTAAGTGAGGTGGGCTAAGCATATGTAAGGTGTGCTAAAACAAACAACAAAGTTGTAGAACAATAAATTCAATATATGATCTCACTTAGGTCAGCTTTCTAGGAGGCTATAAAAGAGACTTGAAGAAAGACATTGTTTATTCTTTTGTTTGGGTTTATAATGAACATGTATTACATATAAGCATTAAACTTCTGGCACAAAAGAGCCTATTGTAGCCCAGGTTAAGAATTCTAGTTCAACAAGTACCCTGTGGTCTGTAGCCATACCTCGGAGTGAAGAGCCACCCAATAACAGGAGAATGGGTCCTGGGAGACTGACTGTTATTTTGTCCTCTTCAGTGGTTCCTGTGGCTGGAGACAGATGAGCAAGGTGGTGTTTGATGTCTAGAATAGTTTAATAATGGTGATGGAATCTTCAGAGCAGATGGTCTATGGAATGTCTTGCTCCTTCATGTCTATAGATCTATTTGTGCAGGACTGGGTGGTATAACATTTGTAAAAGTGGGACACATTCTCCAAGAATCGAGTCCATAGAAGAGTCTGCCCCTCTCAGACTTAGGACTTTGGTACTAGATAAAGACTGGGCTAAGACTGTCAGTCCTCTAGAACAAATCATGTGAAGCGAGGTAAGCCAAGCTCAGAGAAACAGTGCATGTTTCTCTTACATGCAGAAGCTAGATCTAAAATATACTGGGACATTCACACACAGTGAGACCAAAGGCAGATACTCTCTGGGAAGGAACACAAAAGGAGCAATGCCCATGCACTTCTGATCACATAAACTAGTATTTATTGAAATGAACTTCAGGAAATGGCAACAAGGGCCTTTTGCTTTCTTCCCTTTTGTCTTGTTCATTTATCTGTCTTTGGGAGGGTAAAGGGGACACAGATTAGTGGGATAAAGGGTGAACAAATGCAGCAGTGGGACTCACTAGACACTATATTGAAAATAAACTATATAATTTGTGGGTGGGGATGAGAGGGGAAAACTGGGAGTAAGGGAAGGGGAGGACATTGTCCAAAAAGTAATGTACTCATTATCCGACTTACATAACTGCAACCCTTCTATCACTTTATAATAACAATACGTTGAGAAAAAAGAACCTCTTAGTCCTAAGAGTCTCTTAGGACTAAATGATGGACAAGTTGTATCCATCCTTAAAATTCTTTGGGGCTGGAAGATTTGAGACTGGCTTTCAGTAAGGCTCACAGTAGGAGGGGTTGGGGACTTTTTACCTCGTTTGGCCCTTGGTGAGGCAGGGTAAGTCACTGAACACAGAGGTGAGTCAGAAGAGAGGCGATTATAGATTAATGCGCTGCAGTGGAAGTAGACCTGGAAATGGAAGAGGAGTCAAGTGGAAGCAAAGCACTCACCTTCAACTTAGGCCTCTTTCTTTGCTTTTTCACTCAGGGCTGATGTTCTATCACTTGAACTACTCCTCTAGTCTGGCTTTTTTGCTGATTAATTGGATGGAGATAGAGACTGCTGGACATTTCTTCCTGGGTTAACTTCAGACCATGATCCTCATATCTCAGCTTCTTGAGTAGCTAAGAGTACAGGTGTAAGCACCCAGCCCTGGTGACTATGGATCACTTACTAGGGTAGCAAGTCCCCAAGCCTTTGACACAAAGGCAAAGGTCTTCACATCAAACCTCTGGTAGTGATCACGATGGGCCATCAAGGATGCAATGGGATGGAAGGGGGTTTGATAGTTGTCCAGGTTATATTCACAGCTGGCAATCAGACATAGGGAGAAGAACAGTCATATATATTTTCCCAAATGTGACATGTGACAGCTTCACAATGAGGAACATATTTGCCTTCTACAGCTACCTTTGCTTTTATTATATATCTTTCTACTCCCATCTGTCCAATAATACCCATGAAATCAAGTTGTACATGTAGTATTAACACATTTGTTTGCCAATTGAATTCAAAAGATATGAAGTTGTATGTGTATCACTTCAGAAGACTGGCTTATTTCTGCTAATATGAATGCCTATATTATATTGTACTGCCTGGGATACTCGTATATATATGTCATATATTATATATGGTGATTTAACCATGGTATATAGTGCCACCATGCACATAATATATATTAGTATCACTATAAGTGATAGAAGAAGAGGAATACATCCTTATGACTGTTTTACATGCTAGCAGGGGTGATGCTACAAAATATAGTATGTTAGGCAGTAAGTACCAAAGTATGAAGAGTTAGACCAGGGTAAGGGATCATGAGTCAAGGTATGTTTGAGCAAGTCTTCCAGGAGGTGAAGGAATGAGCTGTGTGAATGATCTGGAGACAGGAGAGTACCTGGAGGCTAGGAGCTTAGCAACCCTTTTCCACATGGGTCAAGAAAGCCGAGGTACAGCTGGGAAAGTGGCTCAGTGGTAGAGTGCTTGTCTAGCATGCATGAAGCCCCAGCTGTGATTCCTCAGTACCACATACACAGAAAAAGCCAGACGTGGCGCAGTTGCTCAAGTGGTAAAGCACTAGCCTTGAGCAAAAGAAGCTCAGGGACAGTGCCCTGACTCTGAGTTCAAGCCCCAAGACTGGCAAAAAATTAAGAAAAAAGAAAAGAAAGCCAAGGTACAGTTCTGTGCCTGTACAAACCCCTGGAGAGAGCACCACAGAGCCAAGAGGACCAACACTATGTCCAAGTGCTGGTATAGTTACAACCCCATGGCACTGTAATTTTTAGAATCAAGTGGAAATTTTAAGCTCAGCTCTACCACAAGGCCTCGCTTTTAGCTAGGCAGTTAAGTAGTTCAGTTTGGGTTTTTTCATGAAGATGGCTAGAGCCTTCTTCCTAGGGGGGTAAGGCTCAGTTGGATGTGGAATATATAACTCTGTGCCTGCTAGATGGCAGGTGTTCAGTAAATAGATAAGGCCAGAAGTCCCTTTGTCTCCTGATAGAGACAGAGTAGAAGAGCCAGACTTAAGCCTATTCCTGTTAAGATTCTACCACAACAGGAAAACAGTGTGGACCACTTGATTAGATCACAGGGCCAGTGACTAACAAGAGCAGATGAAGGGCTTGTATGGCTTAAACCTTCTCTAAGTCCCAAGAGGGTTTATTCTCTCATCACCAGCCAAGTTTTGATGGATTCACTGAGCAACCCTCTAGCGTGGGAGTACCTACCCATCCACCACAATGCAGCACTTGAGGAGAGAGGCTGGATCCTCTTTAGATGTTGCCTAGCAGTCATCCAAGACCAGCTTTATGTTGGGGTCCGCCCTACTGAGAATTTTGACTTCCAGGTAGATTAGTTGGCGGAGGTACTTCACCATGGGGTACTCCTTCCTCCTATAAGCTTGTCAGTAGAACTCGTCTGAAATAGATCAGAGAACTCTCCTGGATCTGAGTAGGTACTAGTTGCAACATTCATTTTGGGGGGAAACCCCCAAAGGATTTAACCAAATACCTTTTGGTGGGTTGTGGGCCTTGAACTCAGGGCCTGGATACAGTCCCTGAGCTTTTTCCGCTCAACGCTAGTGCTCTATCACTTTGAACCACAGCTCCACTTCCAGTTTTCTGTTGGTTGATTAGTAGATAAGCATCTCATGGACTTTTCTGTCCCAGCTGGCTTCCTCAGATCTCAGCCTCCTGAGTGGCTAGGATTACAAGTGTCAGCCACCAGGGCTCAGATCAAATATCTTTTAAATTGCAACCTCATACCTGGGTAAGTTTGAAGAATCAACACAAGTGGACTTGGCTTCACAAAGGCCAGTAGAGCAGGCAGGTTGAGGACATGGGCATTCAGCATTATGTTGTCTCTTTTGTAATAGCACTTCACTGTCATTCTGTAACAAGAGGAGAGTGATAAAAAATTTTGTGTTGGGCTGGGAATGTGGCTTAGTGGTAGAGCGTTTGCCTATAGCATGCATGAAGCCCTGGGTTCAATTCCTCAGTATTACATAAACAGAAAAAGGTAGAAGTGGTTCTGTGGATCAAGTGGTAGAGGGCCAGACTTGAGCAAAAGAAGCTTAGGGACCATTGCCCAGCCCCTGAGTTCAAGCCCCAGCACTGGCTAAAAAATTTTTTGCCAGGTGCCAGTGGCTCACACCTGTATTCTTAGCTACTCAGGAGGCTGAGATCTGAGGATTGTGGTTCAAAGCCAGCCCAGGCAGGGAAGTCTGTGAGACTCATTTCCAATTAACCACCAAAAAACTAGAAGTGGTGCTGTGGCTCAAGTGGCAGAGTGCTAGCCTTGAGCTGATGAGCTGAAGAATTCAAGGCCCATGACCAACAAAAAAGGATTTTGTGTCAACAAATTCTTTAAATCTAAACTAGGTTGTTTTTTTTTCAGTAGCAATTGTATCACACCTGAATTTGCTGTCTCTGCATATTTTGCTTGGAGAGCATGTATTTCATTTTTGTAGATGACTATCATTTTTAAACTGAAAAAAGAAATGTTGAAGCAAAGTAGGTTACACCTAGTTAATTCATAGGGCAATCTTGAGCTTCTTACCAACTGGTAGTACCTACCTTAAGTCTGGTTCCACATCCATTCAGGGGTATGTAAAATTGTACAGCTCCCAAGACTCAACTTTCAACATGGGCTGGCAGCATGAATTTCCCATCCTTAGAATATTCAAGTTGAGAGCTGGTTTTGTTTGATGGCTGTAGACTTCAAAGCCCATCAACCCATCCTGGGGACACAATAACCCTGCAATTAGAGAGCAAGGACAAGCAATTTGTCTACCTTGGGAGAGTTGCCAACCTTCAAGTATTTGGAGTTGGAGCAACTAATTTTAGCTAGAGGTACTAGAAATTGCCTGAATTTTTTCTTTTTGTTTGGAAATAGCCTGATAAGCAGCATGAGCAACAGGGAACAACAGTTAAGTCTCTGCGTACAGCCCGAAGGTGGAAGAGAAGGGATTATAGAGACAAGAACTACAGAGGGTTAAGAGCCATTGAGAAAGTTCTGCTGAGGGGCTGGTTTAAGAATCAGATGTGGCCAACGTGAAATTCATTTTGGATGTAAGGGTTAGGGTTGCTCAACTGGTGATATCTATGCGAAATATTACAAGATCCAAAATAGCTCTGAAACCTAATACTTAGGTCCTAAGCATTTTGGTAAGGAATGATTAAGTTCCTAAGCATTTTGATAAGAAATGATTAATCTGTATTCTCAAAGCCCAAGTTGTTTGAGGAGATAATTGTGTGTGTGTGTGTGTGTGTGTGTGTGTGTGTGTGTGTGTGTGTGTGTGTGTGTGTCTACTGGTATGGAGCAGGGCCTGAGCACTGCCCCTGAGCTTTTCTTTTTTTTTTTTGCTCAAAGCTGGAACACTAACACTTGAACCACAGCTCCACCTTTGGCTTTTGGCTCATTAATTGGAGATGATAGTCTCGTGGACTTTCCTACCCAGTCTGGATCAAACTGCAATCTCACATCTCAGGCTCCTGAGTAGCTGGGATTACTGGTGAGCTATCAATGCCTGGCAGAGAAACTAATTTTCAATTTGGTTTGACCTGGTGTAGACCAGAGGTGTAAACAGAAACACGAAGGCCAAAGGCCGAGGCTGGGCTAGAACAGTCTTCCATATTCTTTTGGGGTGATCTATATGAATTGGGAGGAACATCTTTTAAGTTTTTCTGCTACTCTAATGAGAATTGAGGCATCTTGCCTGCATAGGAGGCTCAAATCTCTAAGCCAATATATCCAGGTAAATTTAAAATGACAATTATAGTAACACCTTGCCTGCACAAATGTTCAATAAAATACTTTGGTCCTCATGCTAGCAGTTAGACTAAAGTTTCTGACTGTAGTCTACAAACAGTGATTAGAATCTGAACTTCTATACATTTTCCCATAAGCTCAAGAGCAAAGGGGGTTGGGAGACCGAGTAATAGAAAAATTTTAAAATAAAATGACTTTACCTATAGAAATCGGCGACTCATACTCATACTCGGGGTCAAGGACCATGGATACCATATCCCATTGGAAATAAAAGGTCAGCCTAGTGAAGAACAACTGATTGAATAGGCATTTTTCCGAGAACTGAAATGAGAGAAGAATGTCAATTAGCAGCTGCAGCCAGTCTGGAGCCCAGAGCTGTGGCAGGAAACAGGAAGGAAGTCCACTGGATATTTTCAGGGCACACTTCAGACTTATCTAGTTTCCCCCTAAGCCCAAACAAGAGACCCTATCTCTTCCCTAGATCAGGATGCTTCCCTAGACAGGAAATGTATTGCTTTAAACTCATGCTCTCGAGTACCCAGCCCTTTATGCTCTTTGTACTGCTAGGCACTAAAGCTTGAATGAACAGATCAAATTCCAAAGAAGAGTGGGATATCCTGCCAAACCAAGTAGAACTCCAAGGGAGACTACAGATGTTACAAAATGCCATTGTAAAACACACTCTGACATATTATTCTCTGCTGTCCCTGGCATCAGTCAAAGCGGTTCTCAATTGAGAACAGTATGGGATCCTTTTGTTTGGTCTACTAAAACTAGGACAGCCTGATCCAATCAATTCATTCGATGGCTGACAAGCAGCTTGTATTTGTCAAGTGAAATGGAAAAATAAATTAGAAATTTTCCATTGTAGAAGTTAAAAAAAAAGACTCTGGCATTGCAGAGAACTTGACTTAAATGTAAGTGATCAAGGGAGGTCTTAAAGCTTTAAGTCCGTTGCACTTGTAAGAGTTCATTGTCAGGTCAACATCAGCTGTAGTAGGTAATTGGTAAGAGACTATCTCACATTGGACTTTTATAGGAGTGCAGCGTTTGATAATGGAACACACCTTGGTTTTGAGGAGAGTTTTGCTGCATTTGTTGCTTCTCTGTTGATCTTGTTATCATGAAGTTGATTCAGAGGGGTATTCCTATTTTCAATGTTCAGAGACCTTAACTTCCTTGGAAATTCTGGTATGGTGATAGTCGTGTGTATGGCATTACAAGCCATAGGAGGCTCTGGAAGGAAGAATGATAGAACGCCCATTACCAGCCTTGTTTAAGCCCCCAAAATATTGTTTCCCACTGCTGAAGTTAGAGTTTCCTGGGATCTCTCTCTCTCTCTGTCTCTCTCTCTCTGTCTCTCTCTCTCTCTCTCTCTCTCATACACACACACACACACACACACACACACACACACACACACACACACAGCTTTTGATAAGAAGATGATCTTCTGAGCAGGAGTCACAAAACTACACTTCTACCGTGTAGAAGTGACTGTTGCCTTGCTTGTAGGAACAGTATTTTTGAAGCTATCCGTTTACTTGACTCTCTAACCAATAAGAACCAATAGGCCAAGCATATGCTCAATCACTGGGAATCATTTTGATGCAATGGAAATGCAGGCATTTGGGCCAATCATTATCATGCTACATTCCCAGTCTTGTCCTCCAGTCTTGTCTATGAGTTTAAGGCTCGTCACTGATCATTTCTAAAGGAGATGAGCAAGAGCTGGTCTGCCATGACTATTACACACTATCAGTGGTCAGAATGTTTATAGGACTCCACATTCTTGATTCTACTCAGTGAGAGACAGAGTTGCTCTTATTTAAGTGGCTGAAATTTGAGTACTTTGTGTTGAGGTTTGCCAAGAGTTCATTCACACATCACTTAACAAAGCTGTGGTCTAAGAAATGTATCATTAGACAGATTTACTATTGTGTAGTTACTATGCTTACATAAATCATAGTATCACTTACTATATACCTATTGTACATGATTATTATTATATACATGTACATGACTATATGAGCTCTACGTGCTGGCATTGTAGTTTTGTTTTGACCAGGATCATTACAAGCACTATGGTGTTACTATGGTAACAAGATACTAGACAATTATCTAATGGGATTACTCATATGGTCTGCCATGACCTAAGCTTTGTTATGTAGCCCAGGTCTGTACTTTATAGTGTTCCACTGGAAATCAAAAAGACAAGACAGGAAGTGGCGCTGTGGCTCAAGTGGTAGAGCGCTAGCCTTGAGCTGAAGAGCTCAGGGACAGCGCCCAGGCCCAGAGTTCAAGCCCCACGACCGACAACAAACAAACAAACAAAAAGACAAGACAATGCAATCCAAACATAGTATATTGATTCATAAGACTTTTTTTTTAATATAAAGTACAGAAGCATTCATTTATAGTTGTCCATTGACAACATAAACCATATTAGACTACAGACTATATCATGGTCATGGTATATACAATAAATGTGAGGATTGAAATTTTATTTTAACTTGTAATCCTGGAGCTCTACTTTATTTCCTCTGCTGTAGCCAGAAAGAAAGAAAGACTAAAGAAAAAATAACAACCCTGCTTCACTTACAGATATGAAGTCCTCCAGGCAGGCCATGCATTCTGAAGGCATATGAGATTCTTCCAGTCACGTGAATGGACAAAAGAGCTGATGTATGGCATCCTTCAGTGTTGCAGCGGTATGGCTGTCCTGGATGGAGCTGATCGTGGGGCCTTTACTCAGATTGTTCAGATATACCTACTAAGTAGCGGCCATGATTCTGGGCACAGCCATCTTGGATGCAAGATTCTTCATCCTTTTTGTGATTGTTAGAAAGTTAACTAATTTAGCCCTGGATCCATATATCTATAGCATTAAAAATATATATACTTTAAAAAGATTATTATTTTGAGGGCATTAGGGAAAAGGCCATACACAATTTTGGCTATCCATGGGTTTGTAATTAGCAGACCCTTAGCCTAAAGAATTCAATTCTAGGGCTAGGAAGGTGGCTCAGTGGTAGAGTGCTTGCCTTGCATGCCTGAGGCCCTGGGTTTGCTTCCTCAGCACCACATAAGCAGAAAATGCTGGAAGTGGTGCTATGGCTCAAGTGGTAAAGTACTAGCCTTGAACTGAAGAGCTGAGGGACAGCGCCCAGGCCCAGAGTTCAGGCCCCACGACCAACAAAAAAATAAAGAAATAAAAATAAAAAAGAATTCATTCTAAATCCTTTGAAGTAGAGGAGGCCCATTTTAAAAAGTGAATATCCTTTTATTATTTATTATATTTGGTGATGGTCCTGGCACTTGAACTCAGAGCTGTTTTTTTTTTTTCCTCAAAGTCAGCACTCTACTCTTCAGTCACACAGTTCCAACTTTTTGCCAGTTGATTGGAGATAAGAATCTCTCAGGTTTTTCTGCCTCTGGTGGTTTTAAACCTTGATCCTCAGATCTTCCCCTGCCACATAGCTAAGACTATAGGCATGAGCTACCAATCCCCAGCCTCCAAGTGATTCTTTGAACACTAAAGTTTGAAAACCATTACAGGTTGTTTGTCTTACTCTTAACTATCCTGCTTGGGCAATACTGTTGCTTGGCAACAGAAACCCTTATTGCTTAGCAACAGAAACCCTTATTGCTTAGTTACTATTTGCTTTCTAACACCTGATTTTAGGCTAGAGGTTTTTCAGTTGTTAACACCAGAATAGCCAGCCGTCCATCTCACATCGGGGGAGGGGAGGATTTCACATACAAATAGCTCAGATGAGAGCTTTTGCTTGGGGTTATTTTCCAAAAGACAAATGGAAGCTTAGAAAGGTTAGGCAACTTGCTTGAGACCACACCTTTAAAGTATTTTCCAGGGCTCAAGGGCTGCACAACTCAGTCTGAGAGGCACCTGTCAACACTGGCTACTCAGGAGGCTGAGATCTGAGGATCAAATTCAAAGCCACCCAGGCAGGAAAGGCTATGAGACTCTTATCTCCAATAAACCACTAGAAAACCAGAAGTGGTGCTGTGGCTCAAGTGGTAGAGCATTCACCTTGAGCTGAAGAGCTGAGGGGCAGCACCCAGGCCCAGAGTTCAAGCCCCACAACCAACAACAACAAAAAAAGTCTCGGAGTTTCTTGCCCAGGTGATTTTGAACCTCGATTCTCAGGTCTCAGCCTTCTGAGTAGCTAGGATTACAGGTGTGAGCCACCGGCACCTGGCTTGTCGTCCATTTCTAAGACACATCAAGTAGTTCACTTTGGGACCATAAGACACTGATCATAAGGCCCAGGCTCTGAGACTTACAGTCCGAGCTTCCCAGGGGAGGCTGACTAAGACAATTCCTAGAAAAGACACTCTTGGTGGCATCATGCAAGTTGGGGGACCCCCAAAGCAACAGAGAAAGTAAATGCCTATTGCTCCAAATTTTGACATCTCCATGTACACAGAAAACTAGGAATGCCCTGAACCTACAAGCTTTCTACTAATTAGGGCCAAGATAAGCTAGAACATGTTACCTACCTACCACGGATACATGCCATTTGTCCGTGCTAACACTGCTTGGGAATCCACTGTCATTCTATCTTCACTGCAAGTGATATAGCCTGAAAAACAAAAACAAAAACAAAAAAGTATTTGGGATCCTGTAGGTACAGGATTCCTACTCTTCCTCACCAGCAATCATATGGAATGCTGCTGCTTGAGAGTGGTCATGATACCCCAGGCACTAAATTGGTAAGACAGCTAGTACAATGCAACATGCTGAGAAATATGGTAGTATACAATATACTGGGAATTACGGTATCAGTTAACTGTATCAAGACAGTATCCATGAACCAGCCTGAGCTTTCTGGAGCTCAGTTTCTGGTTAACAAGCAAGCCTATCGCACCCAGATCAGAGCCTTGAAATAGGGCTGATGGAGATGAGAATGATAGGTCTGAAGAACTGAGGAACCAAAGCTTTCTCTGCAGGTTTTCCAAATTGAAAAAATGAATTTAATCCTAAATCCTAGGTCAGAGTGTGTGTGTGTGTGTGTGTGTGTGTGTGTGTGTGGGTGTGTGTATATGCTGGTCCTAGGACTTGAATTTCGAGTCTGGCCTTGAGCTTTTTGCCACCGCATCACTTCTGGCTTTTTGATGGTTAATTAGAGATTAAGAGTCTTATGAGCCTTCCTGCCCTGGCTGGCTTTGAACTGTGATTCTCAGATCTCAGCTTCCTGAGTAGCTAGGATTACAAGTATAAACTACGGGCACCCAGTTAGGGCACATTTTATTATGACCAAATTCTGCCACAATCTGCCTTTCTAGAAGTTCTAGCTCAGAGTAAAGTCTTAAGAGAAATTTATTCTTTGAGGCAAAAGATATATGATTTTGCTTATTAGGCTGATGCATTCCTTTTTTTTGGGTGGGGGGGTCCGGTCGTGGGGCCCGAACTCTGAGCCTGGGCGCTGTCCCTCAGCTCTTCAGCTCAAGGCTAGCACTCTACCACTTGAGCCACAGCGCCACTTCCGGCTTTTTTCTTACGTGGTGCTGAGGAAGCAAACCCAGGGCCTCAGGCATGCAAGGCAAGCGCTCTACCACTGAGCCACCTTCCCAGCCCCAGCTGATGCATTCCTTTAAGCATTCGTTTTCAGTGAAAACTACTGCTTCTAGAGATGGAGGCTTAGTATGATTGTTCTTTTGGAGATGCCATAAACTTGAGGCAGTGAGGAATTTCAAAGCAAGGCAAGAAGACCTTCAAGCCCTTTCATTTAGCTGACATAGGAAGTCCATAACTGGGCAATAGAAAAATCCTAACCAAGGAGTAAGAAATGGGCTGAGGGGCCAGGAGCTTATGGTTCATACCTGTAATCCTAGCTACTCAGGAGGCTGAAATCTAAGGATCACAGTTCAAAGACAGCTGGGGCAAGAAAGTCCATGAGACTCTTAACTCCAATTAACCTCAGAAAACTGGAGGTGGAGCTGTGGGTCAAAGTGGTCATGTACTTGAGCTTTTTACAGCATCTAGGCCCTGAGTTCAAGCCCTATGACTGACAACAAAAAGACTGGAGTGAATTGGCTGCGTGGAGCAGGCAAGCTACTTGAAACCTGTTGTCCCTAACCTCCCCCCCCCCCACACACACACCAAAAAAAAAAAAAAAGCATACCTGGAAAGGTAGTATTGGCCAAGTGAGGAGTTATTGAGTTCACTGCAGTCACAAGGGTGAATAAGTAAAACAGTGGCCTATAGGTACTAAAAGAGGACATAGAGAATGAGTTCAGAAAAAATGAATAGGCAAAAACCAATAACCGTTATATTCCTTCCCTCTGTTCTCATGATTCCTCACCTCCAGCCTGCATTGAAGCAACTTTGGGGACTCCCAGAATCTCCTCTCTCCTGAAAACATGATTAAAAAAAAAAAAAAGCATCACCAAATCCACCAGGAAAGGGGTGGGCTGCTGTGTGTTAGAGCAACAGAGGACCTGACCCCTCCTCTTTATCATGGAAGGCACCTGGAGCTGCATGTCCCCTAGCGTGGCTGAGCCAGAGGGATTAGGGAAGTGAGTGAGATCAGGCACAAGACCGGAGCTCTCCGAAATGGGCTCCAGACGAGAGACAGTATTTCCCCTATAATTTTGGAGAAAAAAAAATTAGATCAAGGGGCTGGGAAGATGGCTCAGCAGTAGAATGCTTGCCCCGCATGCATGAGGCTCTGGGTTTGACTCTTCAGCACCACATAAATAGAAAAGGCCGGAAGTGAAAAAAAAAGGAAAAAGAAAAAACCAGAAATGGTGCTGTGGCTCAAGTGGTAGAGCACTAGCCTGGAGCTGAAGAGTTGAGGGACAGTGCCCAGGCCCAGAGTTCAGACCCCATGACTGACCAAAAAAAATAGATATTTCGAACAAATTAAGTTCAATGTAGAGTGAAGTATGGTATAATTGAGGAAGGGGTATTTCTAATTCATATCGTTAAACCTTTCCTCTCTTTACTTCTAGTCAGGTTGTGGTGGAAGCTAGACATCACCATGGCAAAGTACATGAAATACTTAAAAAAATAAAATGAAGCTGGGCATCAGTGGCTCATGTTTGTCATTCTCACTACTCAGGAGGCTGAGATCTAAGGATTGAAGCTTGAAGCCAAATAGGCAGGAAAGGCCATGAGACTCCTATTTCCAATTAACCACCAAAAAAGCCAAAAGTGAAGCTGTGGCTCAAGTGGTAGAGCTCTAATCTCAAACAATAAGGACTGGCACAGAAAAAAAAAATTTTAATGAATGAAGCATTATCTCCACAATCAAAGTTTAATCTTACTATAAAAATGCAGAAGATTAAAAGAAGGATCCAAAAAGAAGGTAAAGATCATTCATAATCTTGCTATTGATAACATTTAGGTATGTGACTGTACTTTCTAGAAACAACACACACACACACACACACACACACACACACACACACACAATTTAAACCAAAACAAAAACCTAGGAGTAAATTTTAAATACTATCTTGTAATTTCTTATTGCAACATCATATTTCCATATCACATGTAAAGATCTCCGTTAACCATTTTTAAAGTTGAATAGTATTCAATGTTTAGATAAATCAGCTAATACTGACTTAAACAACTAAGCCATTTACTTAACTCTTCCTTTA